GAACAGCAATTTTCTTTTCTTATCTGGATTTAATTACAAAAGAAAACTGTCGTGGAGACAACCGACACTCTCGTTCCCTCAAAACCAGAACCATTTACAGACACACCCAGTGAACACACACTGCTAACCATTCACTTCATCAAGTTGGTCCCTAATCACATCCATCCACTTTATTTGCAGGGATGATCGTCTGGTTTGAACTCTGTTTATCCCTCCCCTCCCTCTTTCTCTGGCCCATAAAATAACTGTCTGCTTTTCGCAAAGCAAGCCCCGTTTCCTGCTTTACTCCCTTTTCGCTCTTCCTTTCTTTTGCCTCTTTCCGTTGTCCTCCTCATCGTCCTCCTCCTCTTCCTCCACTTTGCTATGACCATTAGCCACCACAGAGGAGCCGTTTGTTATGGGCTTCCCTCCTTTCCGAGAAAAGGCAGGCTTGCGTCGATATGCGTGGTAGTAGAAGTTGGCGAAGAGGATGATAAAGGTGACGGCGTAGCCAATCAGAGCCCACTGCATCCAGCAGGGGAACGGACAGCCGGTGTAGAGGGAGTGGCCGGCGTGGCCGATGGTTACGTGGAACTGGATCTGGTGAGTATGTAAGAAAAAAAGATTAAAAAGACACAGAAGAAGCAGTCTGAATTTTTGAATATACAACTACCAATTAAAATCGGAGCTATCACTGAAACAGGCAGAAATCAGTAACAAACGAACATCTGTCAGATTAACTGCTTAACACTAAAGCCTACATATTTGTGTTTCTCATGCATACAGCTGTTTCAGAGGGCTGACTTCACTCCTGTTCCCAAGTTTAATCCCAGTGGTTCACCACGGTGGATGAATCAGCATATCTGATTTGGCACAAATTCTACATCGGATGCTTTTCCTGATGCAACCCTCCCATTTATCCAGTCTTGGGATCAGGGACTAGCCTGTGATCCCCTGAGTTTGCGTCTCTTCCCAGCATCAAACCAGGGATCCACCTTGTGCTAGACTAATGTGTTAGCTACTACACCATGGAACCTCTAGAATCAGTGCTAATAACATTTATTTCCTAAAAGCCTATTATCACTATATTAGAAGTTTATAACAATTAAATAATGTTTCATACTGATATGATACCCAATTGTATTAATCTTTAAAATGTGAAGATCTAAGAGGAAAATATAGTTACAGATTTAAAAGTAGATTTTTTAATATAACATTATATTAAAACCTGGCTGCCACTGTGGCACCCACGATGTGGGACGGAGAGATTTCGCAGGTCTTTCCTCCCTACTGCTGTCAGACTTCAACTGATCAAACACACACATCCACACATGTGCAATAGCAATAACACTAAGTGCAATACTCTTTTCTGGCATCGTTGTATTATACTCAATTGTATATAGCATTTGTATTCTATTTTATTCGATTGTATATAGTATTTTATTTTTATTTTATCTTATTCTATTCTATTGTGTACAGTATCTCATAGATATATTATTCCAGTGTTTTTTCTCTAATCTTTCTATGCAACTTTGCACTGCTGTACTCTGCTGTAACAAAACAAATTTCCCACACGTGGGACTAATAAAGGTTATGTTGTCTTATCTTATCTTATTAATATTTCCTATGTGTAGAATAAAGAATACACTGTCAGCCAATTTTCAGTCATGAATGTGGCAGACTTCAAAAGACTCATTGCTGATGGAAAGGTCTAATTAAGTCTGTAAGAGTTCAACAAATTCAGATATAGTTAATTAAATACAAGCAAAAAATTAATTAAGCGCTCATTTGTAGCACATTTATAGCAATTCATTATTAGCTTCGTAAGCTCTGCGTTTCTGCGTAAACTTTATTATAACTGGATGAAGATGCAAACTATATCTAGGGGCTTCACATATTAGCAGATCAGTGGATCTTTAGATGATAACCATTGTCACTAATAATCACTCTGAGGTAAGTGGAACGCAAAGTGTGTTTCATTGTCCTCACAATCAGCTCAGGTAATTTGGAGAGGCAAAAACCACCAATCACACCATGTTAGCATAAAAAACTGTTGGCTAAACTTTCACAATCAATAACGTCAAGTTATTTGATATATGATGCATCCCTAAAGGTGCCACTTACCATCTGGAT